CTCCAGCTGAAATCCTTCACTCTTCATCCAAACCTTTACAAAATTAAGGGCTGAATTAGTGTAATTATTGAAATTTTGAAGCTCTTATATTTCCTTATAAGATGAAATTCAATTTAAAGTTGACTCGAGCACAGCTTGTAATATCATGATTTTGAATCGATACAACTTAAATCTTCATTTCAATCACATTCAATTAATATGGATTCAATTGAAGCTCATTTTCATACAACTCAAGACAAGTTAATTGAGCTAATCAATCGCTGGAAACACCAATTTATTATCAAACCATTGACTAATCCATTAAATCAACATTAATTTCTGTGTTTATTTGTTTTCCATTTAGTGCACTCCTTGCGTTTGTAGTGATTTATTGCTTGATCTTTCCCTTAATGATTAGCGGTTAATTCATCACTTTTTAGATTTCCCTTTAATTACATTCAATTTAAATTTTAAACTCATCCAATTGAACTTTTAATTTTGATTGATCATGATTTCATCAAATGAACAAACATTTTGTTTTACCAAAGATATTCATTTAAAGTTGACCAGACTTTGTATTCTCAATGTTTTATAATTAATTCAATCGTCCTCAAATTGAGACAATTAAATCTCAAACGAAATGAGAACAATTGTAGACATCGAATCATTTAAAACGAGATGATTAACACCAAAGATTACAAGTTGACATTAATCCATTCAATCAAGCTTTAAATACAATTTTAAACGATCAGTGCAAAAGTTTTACAATTTAATTCATCTTTAATGATCTTCAATCAATCGAAACAATCGTCTTAAAGTATAACAGTTTAACAGTGAACAAAATTTAACCCAAAAACCAACCAGAATTGGTTATTTTGCGAAAAAACAAAAGAAATGTTCAAAGATATTGCAATAACTCGACATTGCATTTCTCAGTTCGTCAACTTTTTGAACATTTTTCTTCGAATTTCGATTTTCATGAAACCTAAGATTTCTGGTGAAAAGAAGCAAAAGCTTTAATGTTTGGTTTGGAGTCTTTTCGCAAATCCTATCTGCAAAACAGTGAGCAAAAACATGGTTTAACAATTAGTTGTTAAGCATGAAAGTCTAAAGCTTTAAAACCAATAACCAAAATTTGATTTTTCAACCTTATTTTTTCAATTTTTTGACAATGAACACCATGATTATGATCATTATTACTCCTGAGCAAATTATAAGTATAATCAGAATGAACTGATACAGCACATTGAGACTCAGAACAATTCCAATAGATCACATCACTATTCTTATTTTTGTAATTCAACAGAAATTCATTGAAAACAAGTAACTTGCCACCTCTTTGGGATTGTAAAACTTCCATCATGCTAAGAAATAGATGAATGAATTGAATTCAAATTTTTCCTGCTTATATATTTCAAATAATCAATGTGATCGCAAGGTATTTTCGGAAACAACAAAAGCATTTACTGAACCTTTCCCTGATTTGTGTTAATCCTAATCCTTTTTCCCAAAATTAGCAAGTTACTGCGAATGGATTTGAAAGCTCTCAATTTGCGAAAAGACTCTACACCTAATGTTTCAATGCGATTGTAAAGCTTTTCAATTTGGACAATTGCAAGCTTTTGATTGTCGTTTATTTTGAAAGCCAAACTTTGTCATGTAATTATCACTGATTGTTTACTTTGCATCCATTGATGAAACTAATGATTAGCTTTATACAATTTGTTTTACATGATACTTGATGTTATTGACAGTTGAAGGATTGCGTTTTTATCCTTTCAATTGCTACTGGTATCAGAGTCCGACATATAATGAAATTTAGATTCAATTATGTATTCAAAAAATTGGCATAATTGACAAATGAGCTTCCAGTTTGTACATCAATACATTTGTTCGTGTGTCTACAACTTAATTTTACTTTGATGATAACATTAAATTGGTTGTAAAGTAAATGATGTTAAATTATATTAATCAAATAATCATATTAACCAAACAATAAGCTAATTACAACTGATGATACTCTTTATAAAAAGGTTCATTAATTGATAATCAACTATTTAGATCAACAGGTCAACCAAAAGTCCAGTAGCATCTGTACAAATCGCTAGTAAATTAACCTTCAAGAGTCCAACAAGTGTTAACCAGAGCAACCTGTCCTCGAGTCTGAGAAAGCTTTACTTTAATACAATTAAAAAGTGAAAACAAGTCATTCTCACGTTGATTAACTTGTAAAGATGAATAAATTAGATTCATGGCTTCTGATCGCACTGATAACATGACATGGAATGACATGTTTCCACAAATCTGAAAAGCCAAAAAATTGGGTAAAAACCAGAGAAAAGACAAACCCAAACGAACTCAAAAATGAACCCAAAGTAACTTTACTATTTCAAGTTGATCAACACTGATTGACGCTAATAACAAGAGATTTAGACAAGATTTCCTTTCCAATGTTTAACCAATTGTACTGATTGCTATTTAAATCTGAAATTTCCGGATCAGAGTATTAGCCAGATAGAATGTGATTAACTCAGTTTGATCATTGCTTTACATTAGAAACCTTTAAATCTCTTTCTTAAAGTAATCAACCTTTCATCATCCATCTTATTCAGCATTTTGTGAATTTACTGTCAATATTAAAAAGCTATTAATAAGCTTCTCTTCACCTTCCTTTACCAAAGTTTATCAATTTAATCTTGTAATCATTAAAGAAACTAACGAGTTTAACCAACTTTTGTCAACAATCAACAATTTATTGATCATTTACAATGTGATGATAAACTTGTTAAATTGATTGATGACAGTAGTCTTTAAAAGTTCATTTGTCAACCTTTATCTGATCAAAGGTTTCGTTAATAAGGATTGATGAGAGTTAAAGTTATCGTGAATCAAATGAATCAAAAGAGTTGAATCTTCAGTGTTAGATGGTCAAACAATCAAACAAGATCAAATTGAATATTCATTGTTGTTCAAGTTAATTATTATCTTAACCAACAATTACTCGTTCAATGTGAACTCAATTAGATGTTAATTAATTACTATTATTCTTGTTAGATTGTCTCTCTAACCAAATCTCAGTTACATATTAATTGTTGTTACAAGATACGGAAATGAATAATTGTTTCTGGTTGGACAAGCAGCAAAAATTAATAACAATTTAATAGGAAAATAATCAAAATCAAATATTGCAAATGTAAATCAAGTGAATACACAAACTTGCCTTAAGGTAAGTGATGAGTTGAATTACATTTACATTAACTGGTTAAACTGATTAACACAACATATAAACATAATGTTAATTTACAATGAAATTAACCAGAAAAATGAACCAGAAATCATTAAACTCTCAACCCAAACGAACAAGAAATTTAAAGAAAAACATTTTTCACTGAAATCTTAACATCAATAAATGTTTGATTGGAAATATTTAATTGTTTTGTCATTTTAATTGTAACGGAAGCAACCTCTTAATTAGCTAATTGTTGACTAGAAGAAAATTGATGAAAAAGTTCCAAGAGAAAGTGAAAATGTTAATCAACTAATGAATTTTGTCCGATTATTGTAATGATAATGTTAAGATGTTCCGAGATGATTGTGATGAAGGTGAAAACGATAATCGTTAAAGCGCAAGTTAATTCAGTGAAAAGGGAAAAATCTCAAGTGTAATTAAATTTAATCAACAAGAGAACAATTTTCTCATTACATTTAATTACAATTATTACACTTCTTTGTTTTTCACATTAGTTTGTATCCATTCAAAATAATCCAAAGCCTTGTTAATAACATCAAAATTGAACTCTTTTTTGTGTAATTTTTGCCTTTTCCTTTTTTCCTAATCAAACTCAAGGTTTTCAATTGACAATTAATTGATTAAATGATGATCATTAGGAAACATTTGACTGTCAATGAGAATTGAAATTAACAGCAAAAATCTGTTATTGATAACATTTCATTTTCTTGCGTTTCATTACAATTAAAGGAGCCCATAAAGAATCAAATTGTACTTTAATTTGTCTTCATTATCCTTGGATTGTCCAAGCAATTGTTAATCCACACTTTAGAGACACTTTTATTACTCACAATTAACCTTTGATTGCGATTATTGTCAGGTTAATCAAGGTTGATTCATTTGCAATTTAGTTATAAATAAGAGTAAAAAATTATTCTGTTAAACATTATCACCAATTGTAGGAATAAATAGCAATTTAGGCGAAATTACTGTTCACCTTTCACTCACTTTGTATTTTCAGAGTTTGATTAAATCTGGTTAACAGTTTAAAGATGAACAATCATGCAAATTCAATACACATTTAGATAATTGAATAATGAATAAGGTGAAACCAACAATTTAAAGTAAACTCTAAAAAATTGAGAAAAGTTATAAATGCGAATTTGAAACAACAGAAATTGATTCAAAGTAACCACAAAAAGAAATGTAAATAAAATCAATTGATGGGTTCACCGATATTAACGGTCAAACAATTGAAACAATCAAATTATCAAATTCATAGTTGATTGTAAATCGTAGTCTAAATCGTAATCTGAATTTGAATCTCGATATAAATTAGAATCGGAATGATAATCATTGGACAAAATTAGCATTGAATTTGATTGAATCTCAATTGAATCTATTTTTGTGTTTTTACTTTACTTTGGTTATTGATACACTTGATCAATAGAGAGGGTTAATTGATGAGGAATGGTCAGTGTTTATGTTAATAATGATAATGGGCAAACAAAAATCGTGAATCAAATTGCAATTCATTTTGAAAGTAAAGAGTTGTAACAATCTTGTTTGACCAATATTGTTAAGAAACAACCTTTTTTTTGCTTAATCCAAGCCCACCTTTTCTCATCTCACCATCATCATTAGTCTCATCTTCATCTTTACCTCTTTCGCTTCTCTCTCTATCTTTCTTCTTCTCTTCTCTTTCACTTTTCCTTTCTTGTGTTAACATTTTTTCCCTGTCACTTTCATTCGACCTCAAAAAAAGTCTTAAAAACACGCGCATTTTTCATCTTCTTTTCACTTTTATGTTACTTTCTTAACACTTTGCTTCCTCATCTCATCATTCATTCACTACCATCCTCATCCTCATCACTGCAACAATCAACTCTACCAACAAGTGGACCTTTCAAAGTGCCCAGAAACTCTGTTTAATCAGAGTTTGCTTTTTTTCTCACTCGAATTGTGTTCATCGTCAACGAAACTAAATCAAAGCAAATGAAAGTTTGCGCTCAACAATAGCAACTTGATCAATCAGTGTGATCAACTTTGACAATCTAACGTGCCAATCTGGTGTTTCTGTGAATCTGGTGAAACTCACTGAATTGGACTTAATTTTCATTTCTTGTAAAAGGATTACCATTTTTTTCTGATCATCATTCTGTTTACATCGAATGGATAATGAATTTCTTTGTAAGTAAACATTTCTATCACAAATTCAATGTCAGTAGAAACAAAATTTAATCGAAAAAAGTTTAACCAAAATATTCAAATCACAATTAAAATGCAATAGAAACAAAATTGATGAAAAAATGAAAAGTTGATTGAGAATCGAAAAGTTTATCAAAAGTTTTCGTAATTTTACTTTTTCCAACGTTAGATGGCGTTGAGATGTGAGAGTTGATTGAAAAGTGATTTTTGATAAAAGATTTCAATAAATTGGTTAAACTTGAGAAAGGTTTTCAAATTGATTTTTCAACTTTGGTCAGGGAATTATTTTTCTGATTGAAAAATGAAGCATAAATTAAAGTTGATTAAAGTTAACCATAAATGATACAAAATGAAGGGACAAAAATACTATCAACAACAATAAGGAAAGAAACATAAAAGGATGAAAATTGATGAAGTTGAATGTAATATTAAAATTAAATCAGTTAAACTGATGAGTAGTTAACAGTGAGTCGCAATGAAAAGGGAAGAGCAATTAACTGTGGATATTAAATTGGTTAAAAAGATGATGAAAAGATGTTGATGATTACAAAAGCATAATGATGATTGCGTGTTACAATCAAAAAGTTAGTTTCATTGTTACTCTTGATGGTTGCTGTTAGTTGAAGTTAAATATCAAGATGTAAAAAAAAGTGAATTAAAGAGCAACTTTACTTTTTTATGAATATTTATATTCAAACATCTGATCATGCTTCATCATTAAATTGTATAATAACGGTAATAACAACAATTAGCTAATTTTAATCAAGGAATGGAAAGGTTAATCAAAAGGTTGATACAAAGAGTTAGGCCTGAGCCAAACATGTTTCAAGAATAGCATTTAAAATTTTTGTCATTTCTCGACAATTAAAAGTAAATTGAGTCAATTATTTTTATCTAAAAAGGTGTTTAAATGGTCAAACATTTTACTGCTAAAATGGTCAGGTTGGTCATTAACACTTGGGATGAATCTTTGAACAAAATGGTGAAAAATCGAAGAAAAATTGAAATTTTCTTTGAATATCAAACATTTTGTTTTTTACAATTTAGCTTTGAATCTATTAATTGTTACGGTGTGTTAATGGTAAAATGTTGAATAACCGGAAGATTGTTAATTGTTTAATTATCAATGAATTGTTGACTTGAGATGGACAAAGAAACGCTGTTTGTTGATGTTGTTATTATAATGATATTAACAATTGTCGTTGTCAGACAGCCTTTTTTTTATATTTATAAATTGATGTAATCATGTTCATGATCATCATCATTAACGTTCATTCAATCAAAATTAAATAATAATAATTGAGTCAATTGTTGCCACAAGTGAAAGCATACACAAGTAACATTAAACAATCTAATTTTGTTCACCTTTTCTTTCCTTCTTCACCTTATTTTTAAATATAAAAAAGATGATGCTTTTTAGCCACAATTTATCATCAACATGTTGATTAAGATGGTGATGAGGTTTGATGGTAAAGATGTTGGGTGAATAGACGAGGATAACAATTTAATAATAATCAAGATAACACTTTAAATAAGGGTGAATGGGTTAGGAAGGAAAAAGCTTGTTACCTTTCAAATAACACACACAATAATATTGATCAATCTTTTTCCTCTTCTTCATCATTCTTTGTCTCATTTTCATCTTTTCATCATCATCATCATCTTATTGTCAGGAATCAGCTAAAGGCGAGATCTTTCACATTTAAAGTAAATCTATTTCCAGGCAATTTGGTTGGGTTATCAATCATTTCCAATCAACACACGAAGAGACTTGGAATTAGCTTTGAAATGTTTGATAAATTAGTTGATAATTTAATATTACCTTCATTTGACTATCAACAAATTAAATCATAATTAATGGCAAATTTTAAACTTATTGGACAGTTAATTTGCTATTAATGAGCTTAACAAGTTAATTAAGATGACAAGTGATGGATGGCAATATTGTTATAACATTTTAAACGCAAGGATTGTCACCTGTTATAAGATCAAGACTTGAGATCAAGATATAAGATCAAGACTTGTTACCAGTTTAGGTTTTCTGGTTCAACTCTTTTCTATGTGTTTATGAATGTATCATTGTTTTGTTTTGTTTTTTTTACAATTATCGTGTTAATTGTAATTGTTATTCACTTGTCAAGTTGGTGAAATTTGATTGCAATAAAAGTGAAAGATGTTAATTTGTATGGTCATTTACATGAGTAATGTTATCCATCTTCATTATACCTTTTATTGTATTGTATTATTTTGTTTTATCATTTTAAATTATCAAAGTTGACCTTTACCAAATTCATTTGATTATTATATGTTAATTGTAATGCTGTGAATTGATAAATTTAATTCATAAACCGTGTTTAAGCAATTTTAAAGTTCAAAATTGAATTAATATGACTCTTCGTTTTCACACAACCAATCAAAATTTATAAACTTTGTGCAACGGTTTTCAACAGCTGATTAGCATAACACTTTCAACGGTTTTTTCATCAACATTTTTGAATATTTTTAATTAATTGTTGAATGGTTTATCAATTTAATCAATTGAGATGCATTAATTTCGATTTATTTTTTTTATTTGTTTCAATTTAGGAACTCATAGCGAGATTGTTGACTTTCCTTTTGGTGTTAAATCTTATAAACTGTGATTCAAAACATGTTATAGTCAAGGTAAGTTTATTCAATTTATTTTCAATTACGACTAGTTACTCGGAAATCATTATACTTAATTTGAATTATTGATTTAATAGCGTCGTGCCAGAGTAAATGTAAGAGCACCAGAATGGTGGAATGAATGGTGGGGTAAATACATAAGAGAAGCCATTGATCCGACTGTCAGGCCTCTTCTGCCTGCTTCTAATAGCTTAGACTACGATGTTCAAAGGCCTGAAACTGATGAAGAGTTTCGTCAATTACAGAGGTTAGTATCATTCAGACGCAGCATCTTGATTTATAATAATTCTGATTGCCTCATTTCGTTAAGCAAATTTTATTAAACATTAATTTTTCTCGACAAACTTTTACAGACCAACTAATAGACCACAATTGCCAGGACCTCGACCAACTTTTTCTCAATCAATTGACCAACAAGGTCCAGGTCAGGTAGAAGATTCCCGTTTTCGTGAACCAGTATTGCCTTCACCGAGACAACCATCTCGTCAACCCTTAGGGCCACAACAAAGACCAGTGGTATTCCCAAGACCTGATGATACAACTGTAAATCCTCCTTTTGAACAATCGGAAAAGCCAGTATCAATTCCATCATTCCCTCCATCACCACCTTCTCGTCCCCCTTCTTCTCCTCCTCCATCACCTCCTCGAACTCGACCAAGCCCTACACCTAGTAGACCTGGAGGTAACCTTCGTCCTCAATTCCAACGACAGCCCCAACAACCTCAATCCCAGTTCCAACCACAACAACCACAATCTCAATTCCAACCCCAACCCCAACAGCCCCAATCCCAGTTCCAACCCCAACAACCACAGTCCCAGTTCCAAACTCAACGCCCTCAGCAACAACAGCCAGTGCCAACTTTAAGACCAATTAATCAGAATGGATTTAATCCTTCTCAACCTCCTTCTCAAACATTCAATCGGCCATCAGATAATCGCCAACGACCTACGTTGAGACCAACTCAAAGTCAAGAGCTTGGTCCTCGACCTGGTCCAATATCTCCTGGTGGGGTAAAAGGAGGTCCAAGACCTCGTCCTACTCCATCAGCACGATTCCCTCAACCAGGGACAAGTGCAAGACCAACCTTCGCCCCTCTTCCTACTTTTAATCAAACTCCGAGTTCCGTAAGACCTCAACCTATCTCACCAGCACTTCCTTCTCCTCCATCTTCATCAAGACCTTCTTTTAGACCTGTGCCCGGTTTTGAAGCTCGCCCACCCTCAGCTCGACCAAGTCCAGCTCAAACCGATATTGAACCAGAAGTTGATTCTGAAGAGCCAGAGTTGAATGAACAAATTTCAACCATTAGACCAACAATCCGTCCATCAGCCCCAAATCCTAGACCATCAAGACCTTTACCCCAACAGCCTAGACCAACTTTACCACCACCAGTTAAGGGAAGACCGACATTTGTTGATGGGTAAGTCTTTTAGCATAACTTCGAATATAAATGATATCACTTACTTATATACGACTTTTTTTAGCGGAAGAAACAATGTGCCTCAACCTACATTCCGTCCAACTGTGCGACCAGCCCCCGAAGTCACAACAACAGTTGCTCCTTTATCTGTTCAAACTTTCCGACCTCGCCCTGCAGTGACTTTTGCTCCTCGACCGGTAAATACTTTTGCCCCTCGTCCTGCAGTCACATTCGCACCTCGCCCTGCAGTAACCTTTGCACCAAGACCCACAGTTACCTTTGCCCCACGTCCAGCAGTAACTTTTGCTCCTCGACCAGTAAATACTTTTGAACCTCGACCAACTGTAACTTTTGCACCTCGTCCTCAGGTAATTGATACAGCCCGACCAACATTTCAACCAAGACCTCAGTTGCCAGAAGCCAAACCAAGTCCAGGACCAACATTTAGGCAACCAACTGAAAGGCCACCTACTAAAGGAGGAAGAAGGCCGCAACAACCATCTGTATCCTTCCAACCACGACCAGCTCCTACTACTCCCGCTCCATTCCGTGATTCACAAACAATTAGACCTCGTCCTACATCCTCAAGACCAATTGAAGATGTCTTTGACACCGAAGCACCGGAAGAAGAAGTTGATCAAGAGACTCCTTTAACACTTCCACCTGTCCCAGTAAGACCTACTCTACCACCAAGAAGACCACAATCAACTTTCGCCCCAAGACCTTCTCCAGCTCAAAGGTATGAGATCAGTTTGTAGTTAACATTTGAAATTAGATTACCGGCTTATTCATTGAAGTCAATCAACTATTACTTTGTGCTATTCATTTGAGGAAAGTTTTGTAGTCTTGATTACTATAGCCTATTATCATGAATATTGTATTGAATCTTGTTGATTGATCAGGCCGATTAGATCACTAATAAACGTTAAGCACGGTTAAGAAATTAATCCTTGAAGTGAATATCTTCTCATTGACAGGATATTGTTATATGAACTGCGAAGTCATGATTTATATTGAAAGTACTGTCAATCAATATTGTCAACAATAGCTTCTACATTTTTCTTTAGCTATATCAATCAATAGATTGAGATTCATACGAGTTTAATAATTTAACTTACTAATTACTCCTATTAGGCCATCACCACAACCTGTTTCAACACGAGCACCACAGATAGAGGAAGATCAGGAAGACGAACAAATTGATCAAGAACAAGTAACAACAGCTCGACCAGTGAACATTCCTACTCGACCTAGTATCCCTTCAAGACCATCAACTCCAGCAAGACCATTCTTCCAACCAACATTCAGACCAAGCACAACAAATCCATCTGAAGAAGATGAACAACCAGAACAGCCAGAGCAACCCGAACAAACTGATGAACCTCAATCTTTTGGACAAAGAATACCAAGACCAAGGCCATCATTTACGCCAACAACCACAACAAAGGCCCCAAGACAACCCGATGGAGTTAAAATACCAGCTAGACCACAGCCAGGCAGTCAAACTTCGTTCAGAGGTAAAGAGTTTAAATTGATTAGGCAAATTGTATAAGAATCATTTATTAATCTTTAAATCATCTATTGTCTTTTAATCATTCAATCTAGAACCAATTCCATTCAGACCACGTCCAATTCAGACGACAACTCAACCATCAATTTCATTTACTCAAGATGATGAAACTGAACCAGAAGAGGAAACTGAAAGACCAGTACAACAAACTCAAACATCAAGACCATTCCGTCCACAACCAACCCAGGGCCCAGTCACATTTAGACCACAACAGCCTACAACCGAATTTGTCACAACATCTAGGCCACCAATTAAAACACCAACTCGCCCTGCACCAAGTCAAACATTTAGGCCGTTCCCTCCAACATTCAGACCCCGACCAACTTTTGCAACAACATTGGCACCAACAACTACAGTTAGTTCAATTACACCACAGACATTCGATGAAGATTATGAAGATACTCAAGCTCCAGCTGAACCAAGTCGTAGACCTCAAGAAATTGCTACCAATAGTCCTCGTCCTCAACAAACAGGGTTCACCAACCCCCCATCTCGACCATCATTACCCACAACAACACCAAGACCATCCCTAGTACCCGTAGTACCTGTAAGAATAACTACTGACCGACCACAACCGATTGCACCAATCGACCAATCTACTGATTATGAAGATGAACAAAATGAACAAGAGATAACTGTACCTGATTTCCAACCAACTCGTCGTCCATCATCACCTCGAATTCCAAGTTTACCAGATACTCAAATAACTACTAGACCAGGTAAGAAGTGGAAAACTCTCAATTCATAATCAATTATTAAATAATTATTCATTTTCATTAAACAGATACTCCACAAGTCCAACCACAACCTCAACCACAACAGCCACAGCCACAACAGCCACAACAGCCACAACCACAACCACAATTTCCAGTAACGACAAGACCTCAACTTCCTGTTCCTAGTCGACCACAACAACCACGTGATGAGCCTGAGCCTCGACCACGTCCTCGACTTCCCGCTCTTCCAGATTCTACTAGAAGACCTACTAGTCCTCAAGCTCCTATTGGTAAACAACCTACGGGAAAAACACCAAACACTAGCGCAGCAATTTATAATCCTCCTCTTGGACCAGCAATTAGTGTTGAACGACCAGATAGACCTAAAGCAGATGGATCAATGCCTGACTGTACCCTTTTAGGCGCTAACTATTGTATTTTAACAAACGATTACCCAATGTAAGTAAACTTTGCAAGTTTAATTATCTTTTCTATTTACAACAATTAACTTATTTTGAAATCTTTCCAATACACAGGGATGGTATTAAAGAAGTCGTCAATCGAAGTTATTCCAGAATTAAATTAATGTATGAAGAATTACAAACTGTTGGTGATCCTGATTTATTCAAAAGCCATGTTGGTGACTCACTTGCTTCTAAAGGACAATTCGCCTGTGAAACTGAATCTCATATGATGAAGCCAGGTTGGGCTAAAGATGAAATTACAAAAGAATGGATGATTATTGTAAACACTGATATTTTCCCTCAACAAGTACGAACAGAAAGTTGCAAGTAAGTATTCATCAAAATTTACTAAATTTTTCAATAATTCATTAGTTATCACTTGAATCAATAGAGTAAATTATTCCTAATACTAAATTTGTATTAAATTCATGCTTATACTTACACTAAATTTGTATTGTCAACACAAATTATATGTTTTTATGTAAGAGTCAGTCAATTGCTTAGCTCATTGAAACAACCATAATTATCGTATCATTGAACCAAGTGTGTTATATTGTTAAACAGACTATATCAATCAAGATGTTGAATCTCTTAATTCAGTTTGTAATTGAAAATTTCTTTTTTTTCATCCTCAGGCGTCCAAATCAACCTTGCTCTTTTGTGGCTCCTTATTATGAATCAACTTGCCAACAAAGATTCAGTCTTCATCGGTTAATTGCTGTTGATCCCCATGATCCGGGTAAAAGTCCTGTTGTTGCTTTATTCAAATTTCCTGCTGGATGCTCTTGCCGTGTTCATCCAGTACGAATCCCTCAAACAGGAGAGATAACTTCGCGGTAAAATCATCAAAATAATAAAACTAAAAATTAAATTGAATCAAATCATTTCCATTTTGTAAATTAGCTTGTTGTAATGCAATTGATAATTAATTAAAAAAATCAATTCTTCATGGTAAGATGTTTACTTTTTTTTGATAAAAAATGTGAAAAGCACAAGAAAAATTGCGTAAATCATTAATATTACAATTAAGGTAGTAAAACATACAGTACCAGTCACTTTGAGTGTAATTTGATTTTATTATAATTTAATTGCTGGGGCAGGTGAACCATAGATACAAAATATATTTTATAACAATCTTTCTTTGTGTGAAAATGTAAATTGACTATAAATGACTATAATTTACAATTTAATGTGTTAATTTGAATTTTGATTAAGCTATACTTTCCTTAGATTCAATAACAGGTCCTAAATCAACATAAATCTTGTGAGAAATCCATGAAACTTGAGGTTCTGAGCCTCCGGTTGACTTATTTTGCACAACACTGTTAACAAAATCATGCCTGAGTCTGAAACAAACCCGGCATCTACCAGAATCGATTTCAGGAATAACAGTTAAACGGAGACCAATTTTATTGCCACGACGGAAAGTAATTAGCCTGAAGTAAAAAAATGAGAATAAAGGGAAAAAAGAAACTTTAAGTATTGCACACATTTTAAAACAAATTTTCAGCAAATGATTTAGGATTTAGAAGCTTTTTGAAAATCCGGAAGATTAACTGCAGTCAAGTTTCTTTTCGGAGTTTAACTGAAAGGAAAAGTGTTTTTGGCAAATTTTAATCTTCTTTGAAGAGGAAATTGCCGAAAATTAGCTTTTCAAATGAAAAAAATGGTTCCGATATGGCTGAGAGTAATTGTGTGCACTTACTGGGGATCATCATTATAACGAGTTTTCTGTGTAGAGTCCAATTCAGGTTCAAGCGTATCATCTTTACACTCTAAGATGAATTCCGCCTTTGGAAGGATTATTTTACCAGTAATGCTTTCGTCCATTTCTTCATCTTTCAGGGGCTGCAGGCATACATGCATTCCATATTGATAAGGATTTTTGAAAGTCAATTCTACCATTGATTCTTTATGTGGTATCAGCTTTGGTGTTGACGCAATTTTCACTTCTGGGATATCGTAACTATAAGAAAGTTGTGAAAAATAATAGTTATTTTTACGAATCAGAAAAATTTGAGAAAAGTCAATTCATACTCACAAAGCAGAAAGTTGAATTTTGAATTTAATTGATGATGAGTTGTACTCTGGCTTGATTATATTGTGATCACATTCTTTGCACCGAAGAGATCTCTTAACATAGAGCATTTTACTTATTGGATAAAATTGAGAGACTGTATTGGGTTGCATTTCAACTTGCATTAATCTCTGTTCAATACTACTGATTTCTGATTCAATGAGATCTTTATTATAAAATGTATCGACATCAAGTGGTTCCACATCATCAGTTGCTAAAGATGGTTCCAATTTAATATCAGTCAATGACTTGGAAGCCGAAAGATAATTGGAACTAATTCGACCAGAATAAGCTTTGGTTCGTAAACTTTCGGTCAATTTAGCTGAAAGAGAGGCTGAAATTCCGTATTTATCAAGTAAATGGATAGCATGACCTGGTCTTGGGTTAATTCGTTTCTTCTCCTTCTCCATTCTTTCCCGTTGAGCAATCACCCGGTAGTGGTCAACAAGGCCCTCAACACGCTTTCTATTTGGAGCCTCAATTTCAGGCCATCCCCCAGAACCTGGTATATGGATGAACAAACACAAAAAGAGAGCAAATCAAAACAAATATTATTCGTAAGACACGGTTGCTAATCATAATTTAACATCAGTTTTAGATTAAAAGTTGAACACAAACCTATAAATTGATCAGGAATACCAACATCTTTAGAGCTCCATTTACAGTATGAACACAGCAAAAATTGTGCTTTCCTGGTGGTCATCCCATTTGGATCGGTTTCACTTGGAACCGATGCTAAAAAGGTTCTCGGAGTCAGTGTATGCATACAATTGGGACATTGAAAGCATGATGCACATCTAATGGGTTAATTATAATGACGGAAATGATTGAAAAATTAAATATAAACAACATTATTATGTAAAATGTTTCAAGAGCAAAAAAGACCCTCAAACAAGATATTTTTGGAATAATGAGAGAATAACAAATGAATACAATAAGGTAAAAAGGAAAGGGAGTAAACTACGTAAGACATAGAAATGATATTAAATAAAATCAATCATGTAAATCATCAATAATTCGCTTACTTATTTTTCTTTAATTTGGCATCAATCGTTGGAATATATTCTAAACAGTGTTGACAATACTGGGAGTCAACCTGAAAAAAAGAGGAAATGAAACAATTAGTTTATCCGAGTAAATAGATTAATATCACTAGGAAACAATAACTTCACAGAAAAATAGAATAACCTGGCACCATGGAGAAACAATCAAAAATAGGTAAATAATAAATTTACAGTCATAGTTAGATTAATCAAGTGTGATGAGAAAAAAATATAAACAAACCTCATGATAAACACAATCCTTACACCTCATTTTAAGACAGTAACGACAAAAATAAATATGTGTTAAAGGTTTACAATGACCACAAGCACATTGATACAAAACTTTGTTGGTGGCAAAAATTTCATTAATTACATCCATACTGGATTTAACGAGCCAGCAATTAGGTGAGAAAATTAATCACAATAAGATTAACACAGACTAAATAACCAGGTTCAAATGGAAACCAAGTGTTTAACCGAGTGCATAACCCAAACAAAAGGTGGAGTTATGTCAAGAAAATAAAGAGTGGCGGTAAATTTGAAGGTAGTAATGGTAAAAGTTTAAGTAAACGTTTCTCTAAAAGCCTAATTATTCTTGTTGGTAAAAGAAGTTCATTTTTTCTTCAAGTAAATAAGGTGTATTTTTTTATTTAACTTGGTTACAGGTAAATAGTTTCATCACATGATCTATCATGTGACTCTAGTTTTAGTTGAAACCATTAGCCTTATTTATTCATAATGTATCATCTTTTTAACCAACAAACAAGAAAAAAAGACCTTTTTTCAACCCAAACCTTTCCTCTTCAACTTCAACATGGACCAAAGCAACACCAACAGTTTTAAAAGTGCTCAACTTTTCTCTCAATTTGATTGATTAGATGGGTTAATGGAAACAAAGCCTCGAGTGGGTTAACCTTTCTCATCCATAATTAACTTGAGTTAAAGTATTTTTCCATTGGATTACCGACGATAGAGTAAATTTTACTCTTGACTTAACCAAAGTCTTTACCAGTGTTTTTACCAGTGTTTTACCAGTGTCTTTGCCAGTGTCTTTGCCAGTGATTCCACCAGTATTTATTATATCACTTGTATCGTCTTTTTGGCTCATCAGGTAAGCTGGTAAAGAGGGGAATAAGGGAGAAAGAGGGTGAGAAGTCGGAAAGCTAAGTATTTTAATGAGTGAGACTGTGAGAAGGGAAAAAGAGGCGAGGAGGAGTTGAGTCCATATTTTGGCAACAACCAAATAGGAAACCTTATCCGTCCATAACAACACACAAGTTAAACATGTCTTGTGCTTCACCAACAATAACCAGTCTACTGATGGTGATTATTGTTCAACTTGTATTTATCTGTATTTGGTTTGATTTAATTGTTTTAGCTGCTGCCTCAACCATCAATAAATCATCTCCATTATCATCACCCTCATCACCACCCTCACAATCAACCTCATCATCACCATCATCTTCACCATCGTCATTATCATCATCACAACCATCTTTACTCTCTAGTGCTTCTTCTTCTCCTTCATCTTCTCCTCCATCTACCTTTAGTGTTCGATGTCCTTTACCACATCTAATACAACCATGTGACTGTGTTGAGATTGAAAAAGGTGGTGATAGTGAATTCAATGAAGTTACATCTTTGGGTTTAACCAACGATACAAGTACCAATGATACAGAAGGTGGTCAACTTTCTGGTGATGAAATAAATGCAAACATTAACAGTGAACCTCACCCAGATATCATTGAAACTGTCGTCTTCTGTAAGCACATTTATTCAAGGGAACAGCTGATGGAAAGTATGAAAGCATTCAAGGGACATCGAATAAATTATCTAGTTATCGATTCATGTTCAATTCCACCTTTTCCAACCAACATCTTTAATCAGATCAACATTTTATGGATGGAAGTGTTAAACTCGACCGTTCAATTTCGTGAAACTTTCTTTGAATGTGGTGCAGCTTGTCTTTGATAATTTAATATTTAACCCAAAAGACCAAAAAAAGAAAAATGACAAAAAATTGAAACAAAAAAATAGCAAATTATCAAAAGACGCACAAAAATAACCATCAATTTAATATCAAAAACAAAAAAAACTACCAACACTATTAACACACAATCAAATTTAAAGTTCAAATCGATTGATGATCAAGGTGAAACCTTATCAAGTAGCCTTATTGACCTGCTTTAACAAAACTGCTATGGAATGTTGTTTTTTTAATGCTAAACTTATTAACAATTATACATTAGTTGAAACCAAATTATATTGATTCTTTTTGCACTTCAATATATTTTTTTGCCAATTCATTCAAATTGAATGATATTGAAATGTTATTAAACATTAATTTACCTGAATAAAATTGCTTTTAAACTTAATCAAACCCTTTTTTTGTTCAAAATTGTAATCAAATGTGAAAATGGAAAATACTCTGAATAAAAGCGATTAAGTGAAACATTAAGTTTACCCAAGCAAAACCCATTTTGTAAACTCTTAAGACTCAATCAATTCGAGAATTAATTGTAATTAAAACAGCCTTTTTTGGCTTCTAATTCACTAATTGTACCAATTAACTGTATCAATCAATTTACAAGAGAAAAGGAAAGTCAAATACAACTAAGCAATAGGATTGAAAGGCAAAGAAAATGTTTTAATCGGTTGATTTGAGACAAGAAATGATTAATTAAGTCTCTTAATTAATCTGTATTTACTGTAAAGAACATAAAATTGATTTAAGACTGAGTGTTTCAAATGAATATGTAAATTAGTATTACTATGAAGTGATGAATTGATTCAGGTTCAATTGAATAAACAAGCTTTGAAGGCTGTAACATGAGTCTCTTAATGACTCTTTTCTGGTCCTATTTGCTCTCACTGTTTAGGATCAACTCAACCATACTTGTTGGGTCTTTACGTAAACTTGTTCAAGTTAGTCATTCAATGAATTTTTGTTAATCACTTGACAATTGTTTTATTGAACCTTTAGATTAACTTGTGATTCTGGTTCATTATTTCCGGTTTGACCATCCATTCGGAATGGTTACTTTTTTGTGTTTATTGTTAATCCTTTTGAATGAACAATTTGACGTCAAACATGATATTCATTTTATCATTTGAACACAAGTTTACTGCCTTTTCCTGTTCATAATGATGAGCAAATAAAAATGCTACATGAAATTGCAATCGAAACTTTTATCAGCCTTTAAATGCAATACTCAAGTATATGATATTTTGTACCAAACTCACATCTTTATAACGGTTAAAGAAGTCAGACATTGTTTTCACCCAACAAATGTGATTGATAGAATAATTTTCCACGAATTTTATGGCCAAATACACGAGCAAGAACTCTCTTGAGAATGGTCTCTTTATGCAGTAAAAAAGAGTCATTTCAAGAGTCATGGTCATTCCAAACAAGACGTAGGTTCTTAATCATCCAAAAGACCATCGATTCCCTGAAATTTAATGGTTGCCGGATCTGATGAATGACTTTCATGGAACTTTGATTTTCCAGTCGGTGACTATTTTTCACGAGGCTATTTCTAAATGTGAATAGAATCGTAAGATAACTTTACAATAGAGCTACAAGAGTTATTAGAGTTTCGGTCAATATCCCATGAGATGTTCCATTCTACTCTGAGAGCCTGAGGATCATGGTAAACATGCAAGCGATATCGAATCCAATTGATGATTAAAACTTCAGTACTTTGACTGTGCAGCTACCAGTACTTGAAATATCAATTTCAATTGAAAGATAAACAAGAAAAAAACGGTTCAATTTGTTGGATAATTTCCTTTTAAATTGTCCATGCCATTGAAACTGAAGATGGATTTATCGAATCATTTAGAAACTGAAAACTTTTGCCTTGAAATTTTTCATCTTCACATTCATTGCTAACAGTCATTAGAAAGTTATCATTTAGTCTTCCAGAACTTCAATCTTTTTATTCATTTTTGCTCAAGGCGAACAATAATTGTTCATTAGGAAGAACAAAGTGTCCCAATTTCATCAAATTTGTAACATTTTCAAGCTCACAATTCGTTGAGTTGAAAGAATACAAAAAGAAATGAAAATCTCTTTATTCTGTCAATTCCAACGAGAATTAAGCTGTTGACATTGAAGATATATTGTACTAGTTTTACAAACAAATTGAACGTAAATATTCAGTTGAAATAGCAATTCAATTTGTAAATCAAGATAATGCAATTTGAAATGGACTCAAGAAAAGTACCACTTAGTTTATCAAATGGACAAACTCTGAATAAAAGATGAATACCCAATGAAAAGAAGTAAAAATTTGCATTCAGTGTTGAACTTGAAAAGAAATGTTTATGAGAAAAGTTTACTTTCTAACGATAAAGAGACGTAAACAAGTTCAACGTTTTAACTTGATGTGCTTGGAGAATTGTTTACACTCGACAACATGATGATCATGAATCGACATGAGCTGAATAACTAACCTTTTATATCAACCAGTGTTTATGTCAACATGTTAAGGTGAAACAAATGATTGCTGTTATCAAAATGGTTAATAACTTAATGCTCATTCAACTTCAACTCAATCCATGCTTCTTCTTATCATGTATTTTCTCCTCATTTTCATTCCAAACTGATTTTTTTCTTTCTCTTTATTCTTTCCCATCATTTCCATGATTATCATGATTGATGAAAATGTTTGCTCTTTCAGTTTTTTTCTTCTTCTCTTACCATTTTCACCATAATATTGATCTCGACTAACAATAACAATAACAACAATGATAGAAAACAAAACAATATAATCGAGGTTCGCAATGAAAAAAATTCTAATGTTATTTTCCTTCTCTGAGTGTTTAGTTTTTTGTCTTTTTCCCTGTTCTTTTGGTCTTTTTCTGGTCATAACTTGTAACAACATCATAAATGAACCAATGAACAATATCAATGACTGTTTCCTGTTTCAACTTGAAATCATTTTGTTGCTTCCAATAGCAATTCACCATTTCCTGAGATAATAATTACAACGAGAAAATGTTGAAGTCGGTTGATTGTCAGAACATAAACAAGTAAATCAAAGTTACAATAAAGTAATTATTCTGATTGAGTTTCTTGGGAATCTAATCAAGAATCTCGTTTAATTTGGTCACTTTTCGTATTGTTTAATTGCTCAGTTCATTTCATTTGTCAAAAATCATTATTCACTTCTAATTACGACAACAGGAATTGTCTGCTGTTAGTTTCAGGTTCAGGTAAAGTTGATTAAGTTTCAGAATAATCTTCATCATTTTACCAAAATTTCTCTATTTGATTTTACTGCTTATGAATTGAAAGACAATAGATTGTCAGCATTTAATTTCTGATTTTCTAGTTATCTCTAGTTACTCCATTTGCTTATGGAGTTATTATGACCAGTTATTGTAAATGGATGAAAAGATATATTAATGGAAAGAAATCAGCCTACAAAGACTTTCCCAATTTATTTCTTTTCTTTCAGAGTTTAAAATTCTCTTAATGAATTTTTACAACTAATTTCAGTATTTTATAAAGATTA